AGCCGAATATTGTTTTGGTGTCATTTTAGATACGGATGAGTGCGCGAGTTCCCCCTGTTTGAATGGTGGAACTTGTCTGGACCTGACTAACCGATATGTCTGCACATGCGCACCGGGGTTTATTGGTCAACAATGTGAAGAAGGTAGGTATTTAATCTCCAAGCAGATTTTTCAGTGGCAAAGTGCTACCCAGCCGGCAAGAGACTATCCAATATGCAAGACACTGTTTAATGTAATGTCGCCTTGACTTCGCCTAATCTGCGTTCTTAAATAATGGTGTCAAATGTGGCACAAAAGGCCAGTATCAAAATTATGTCCTGTTAAATGGGGAAATCAGACGCTTGAGTAACGTCAAATCTTTCTGGATTTCTCAGAGAGAACCGGTTGTAACTTCGACTCGGACCTCTGCGACTTTGAACAAAATCATATTGACGACTTCGACTGGACGCTCCAGGCGGGCAGCACGGGAAGTGCAGGAACAGGACCATCCGCCGACCACACCAGTGGGACTGGTAAGACTCAAGCTCGTTCTTTAAAACTTCGAATGCCTTTTAAATTAGGCGGTCTTGTATAGACGACAACAGACGACACTATTTTGACACGTCTTCAGGTCAGTATATCTTCATCGAAACGTCATCGCCTCGCCAGGCCGGCCAGGTCGCCCAAATCTCCACCCACCCGATCTACGTGACGTCACCGATCTGCGTATCGTTCTACTACCACATGTACGGGCGCGGGGTCGGCACGCTGAACGTCCTCCTGGCGGACGACAGCCAGCAGGCCGACTCCACGGTCTGGAGCGAGTCCGGAGACAAGGGCGACGTCTGGCTGCAGGGTCAGTTCGCCGTGGACGCTCCGGTAGGAGGAGGGCTAAAGACCGTGCAGGTACGTGTACAATGAGCGCAATAGCTTAGTATATATCGTTAGTTAACAACATATATTGTATATAAAATACGTTTGGAACCGTATATCTCACTATGTTGGAACAATGAACGTCACAATTACTTTACGTTTGGGGCCGAATTGTTAGCAAATAGTTTCAGTGCACAGTAAACCAGTCATAATTGCCATTAAAGATGACAGTCTTCTAAACGTTGACTTTCATTGGTAACAGAATTGCTTTTGTGACATAACATATTTTGTCGTTCATAGATAACATTCGAAGCAGTCATTGGAAGGATTGGGTTCGGAGATATCGCCCTAGATGACGTGGTGTACATCAGTGGGACATGCCCGACTCAAGGTGAGACAAGTCATGCAGTACCGCCGTCAATAGATAGGGGGCAATGAACGATGTCTCTAAAATCCTGAAGAGACTCATAGCTTTTAGCAAAACAAAAGAGAATTATCATGGTTGCCATGTGCATTTTGAAATGTATCTGTAATATAGTTGTAATATATATTTTCTTCGGCTCAACTTTTCCAGCGCCCTTGCCAACGACTACACCCTCCACTACACCATCAAGACCACCAACAACCATACCGCCGCCTCAAACAACCACCACTCCTAAACCAACCACGACTACAACCCACAAACCTACAGCATCCGTCGGGAGCGCCAAGCCTTTAGACGACAGGCCCAGCAACAGGCCTTCCATAGAACAGTACACGTCTCCATCACCGATGACTACCGGTCCCACCGTACAAACCGGCTCGACTAAACACACCACAGCCGCCATAGTGGGAGGGATGGTGGGCGGGGTGGGCGCCATAGTGTTAGTCGTGGTCGTCGTGTGGGTGATCCTGTACAAGACTCAGCGTATCAACTCTAAGGTAAAGTTCCTACACCTCATGGGGATGCACGGAGACGTGACGTACAACGTGGAGTCCATGAAGTCAGCTGAGGGCGGGTTCGACAACCCCGTGTACGGTAACGGTCTGGAGGTGAAGAGTACCGAGGAGCCAGCGGTATAATACTCCAACTCACTCAGGTTCATCCTGGTTAACCGGCACAGACTGAATACAACAAATGGGAGATTTCAGACTTTCGGGAAGTATATGCAATCGACAGACGAAGTATTGTTAGTGATATAATCGTCTGAGAGGCTTAGATTCAATGTGTAGCAAAATGTAGATTGGAAGACATGCACATTGTTAGTGGATCCACTCCAGGGGTGTTGCCAAAATCTGCTAGTTGGGCATATCTCTGCAATATGTACCCTGTAAATAACGCGATGAAGTGAAGTAAAGCGGGAATGTTTTATTACAGGAACAGACAAATTTCGAAATGGTTTAATCATAATGAAAAGACTAGAGAAAAATGTAAGAGATATACGCACAGTCAAGTAACACTGACCAGTACCTATCTCTATCGTGTCCTAGATATACTTAAAAACTTAGAAATGGTCGCTGTACAAAACAGTCACTTTCACTATAAATGTAAGAGTACGTTCTAATGTCAGCAATGATTGCATCTATTTACATACTGCCCACGCAGTACGCGTCATCCTACGTACAGAATGTATGTCGGCAACAATAAAGGTTTAACTATTCTCTATAACATACACACACATGTGCACACACACATACAAAGATAGAGAATAGATTACCTAACACCAACGATTAGGCAACGTAATCATTTCTCCATGCAGTTTAAATGGGATGAAGAATCATTGATCTTAATGTTGTTTATACTTCATCCCATAGACAAAATGGTAAATCCTTTGACCTAGATTAAAGATGGTTTACTTACAGTTTATCCCCTTTTAAATTGGTCCCTGGACTAAGGATTATCCAGTCGCCAAAGGGGAATTCTCCAAATGCTGGGTTTAGAGAAGGCAACCTTATTTTGTGGATAATGAACTCTATGTAGGTCAGTAGGGTAGGTCGAGACGCAATAAGTGCCAAAATGAAAACCATGAAACCTATAGCTATTTTTTCTAATGAGAAAATGCTGAATATATCAAATCAATGGCCAAAAGTAAAAAAAAAAGCTAGAATCTTTGTGTCTGGTTTCAAGACAAACTTAAAGGTTTGGGACTTGAGCAAGTCGACATGCGAGTCGATTAGTGGCACGTACATGTACGAGTATACTGTCATCAACACCACAACCGCCCTATCTCGCAACGAACTAACTTTGAAGGCAAGTTAATTCAACGTTCGCTCGAATTGACCAATGTACGTATACCGACAAATCTCTGTTCGTGTAGCTCACAACGACACACACAGAAGTATCTTTTCACACGGCGTTACCATTGCAGGGCCTACAGGGTATTCAGGCATCCCAAGTTGTTTAACAAGTCCCACTCACAACACCCTTTACACTCTATTTCCGTGGCTTCTCTCTCTATATAATACGGTTGCCCTTGGCTACTTTGTTTGCTTTGAGGCCCGTCGACAGATCAGAGATAGTACGTATGTGTATCAAAATGCTTACAACCGCGGTAAAAGTCATTACATTACCATCGACATTACATTTACCATGAAAAGAATCGAGGAAAAGAGATGCTTGACACAGAAGTACACAGAACGATGTAGTACATGCAAACATGCTTTAGTCCACCAGGGGGCGCAGAAGAATTCAAGTTAAAGGACTGACAAATGAAGACATTAATTGCATACAAGATAAGTTTCTTAGTTTTCGATACTTAGATAGAAGAGAAAAACCCATATTCCTTATAAAGCGTTTGATCACCAGTCCTTTCGATTTCTGTCAATCTTCCCCACCCATGTGCTGTCTTACTCTGTCCACACAGACACACAGCTCAGCCAACCGTACCCGGAAGTAAAAACATCATTATTTAAAAACGCCTGCCGTGGAGCCTGCTTTGGAGGCTATTAGCACTTCGCGTGATGAGACAGTCCCAAACAGACGTGCGTCCAGCCGCCAAAACATTCCCGGATTCTCCCTTTGACGCAGCTACTAAATAATCACACCGCTGAGAGCAGGTCCTCCCGAGTAACAATCCCCGGGATCCGAACTCGCGACCCTTTGACCCGGGTTTGGACAAGAACATGTGGTTCCCCATGTAGGTCACGGTGCCACCCTTAACCCCTCTCTGCGCGCTCCGATTCCTCGGTTTATTTGCCGAAAACAAGGCGAACGGCGATTTCGTGCTCCAGATATTGAGTTTCCTGCACGCCCTAACCATTTTCCGTCTGTCGGCCGGGCGACAGCCTTTCTGTACTTCTGCTTCACCTCATTTACTTCTGAAGCTACCGATGCAGACCCATTAGGGGACAAACGGCGGAACCTGTCATTGTTCTCAGCTGACTGATCGTACTGAATACATGGAGATTGACAAGAGGCGTGTGTAAAGAAAGTGTATCTTGACCTGTGTAACATACCACCCAAAGCAATTTCAAGTTAATTTTCTGGTCATTTTTAATACAGAAAGTTAATTCAACCCCATCCCATACGATACTGTGGGGAACAAAATGCGATGTCGCTGACCCAAAACGGTTGCTTGTTTTGTATCGTAGGCTACCTATTTATTGGTTGTGCCAAAAAATAGGAATCGACTCCTGACGAAAATGCGCTAAGAAATGGCAGTAGATGTCAATATCAGACAGATTTCGTCATCTAGAATATTTCCTTTGTTTTCAGAGTGCTTCCCTGGAATTGCATTGGATGCCTTTGACCTCCTTTTTCAATGTTCTATATGTAAAGAAGCCAAGCCAAGAAGAATGTAAAACCCCGCATGCAGAGTTGTATCGACGAACCAGACCCACAAATGATTTTTTGGAAATGCCCAATGATGACCGCATATCTACAAGCATGACTGTGTTAGGTAACTAATAAATAAGCTCTTTTCTAGGATAAAAAGGTCAAGACACAAAGAATTCTTTTACGTCGCCATCTAGCAGTTGATCTATGCTACGTTTCCGAAAATCGTTTATTAGTGTCACATTTAAGCCCTTCAGAGTAGTCGAAGCTATATGTTGCTAGAATTCAGGCTTCATGAGGCTCCCCGAATGGACAGTACCGAGACAGACACGCCATGTCGTCTTGACCAGTGCTCAGCAAAAACCCCTCAGTGTTTGTTTACGCTTTGAACCCGTTAATTCATCACTTTCTTCGTGTGGTCGACGTGAAGAAAGCCGTGAATGACCCCGGAACGTCTTTAAAGTCTTAGTAGTGCAGAGGACAAGGTCTCGGGCAAATTAAGACTGGGAGGGCTGTTGTCTGAGACCGGCCGACGTGACGTGCTGGCCGAAATGGGTATAAAAGGAAGTCCATGTCCCGCCCCGAAACCGCCGCCTGGCGTCCTAACACGGTGAGCCGGGTCGGGGTTCCCGTCAATGGACTTTTCAGCGCCGGTGTTATGCGATCCTCTCGGGGGTAAATAGAAACAGAAAACAGTAGAAGAGGCCTCGGGGAGTTTTGGGGGCGGTTAATCCTCATTGGTGAGACCACAATTGCCACCGGCTGGGCCTGCGCCGGGACCGAGGAGGGCTAAGTTCGGCGGTGAGGCTGTCGGTGCCGTGAGAGCAGGAGACGGGGGCAACAGCTGACATGGCAGCGGTCCAACAGCAACCCGTGCCCCGCGTCCTGGCGCTACTCTTGGCCGGACTGTTTTTCTTGGCTCTGGCGAGCGGTAAGTTGACGTTGTCTTAACGACTAATCTGCGAGAGTTCGGCAAAACAGGAAAAAAAGTGGCAGGTTTGGTGCCAACTCGAGTTCACGGCCATTGCTCATGCGTCTGTTTCCTATAATATCGGCGTGTCCTCACTGCGCTTTCAAGTATATATAGATGCACTTTGTGCCCACACACTGTCTGTCTGCATATAGTAGTAACCTTGGTCTTCATTATGATATACAGGGGCTAGACACAACATCCAAGTCGTGTTTCCGAGGAGGGTTCAGCGGGAGCAGGCCGGGGCGCCCGGGCGCGGGGCTCGGGGGCGAGCCGCACGTGACGCCGAGGGCACGTCTGGCGGTGGCGACCCCCAGGACTTCGTCTTCTACCGTATGGACGCCTTCGGCAAGACCCTACTGCTACGTCTGACGCCAAACAAGGAGTTCTTGTCCCGATCCTTCCAGACGATGACCCTCGGCGGCGACGGGCGGGTCGTCGACCTGAGCGGAAGCACCGGGGCGTGCTTCTACTCCGGGACGGTGGAGTCCTTTGAGAGATCGTCCGTGGTCCTCAGTACATGCAGCGGACTGGTGGGTGCAATTTTACCGTCCACTCCATTTCTGTTTACACCGTAAATCGTGAAACTTTTGTGTTGTGGTGACCTCTCCACCGCGAATTCATGTCATGACACCGGCACCACAAATATGCCTCCCATATATGACTAACATACTACAGAATTGTTTCTACTGCGAATTTAAAACACCGTGAAAACCTCCCTTTCCCTCCCACCGCCAAATAAAACCACTGCGAAAGTTTTACGATTGACTAGTAAAAACTAAGCTCGTTATCAGTGACGGATCAACGTCGGTTACTTAAAAAACACTACCCGATCGACACTGTTAATTAGGTATGAGATATTAGCCTAATTGGTGACCTTAAACTGCCGATCGGGTATCAAACAGTGGGGGGAGAGTCGAAGGGATAATCTAATTATAACACATCGTAGCGTCATTAAACCTTTTCTGTGATCATACCAGGGGTAACTCTTCCATGTTGTCAGCAGCCGGTGTGTTTTGTCTCAATGGCGACTGCGGACAGTGTGAAGGAAGGCCAACTGTCGGGTGGGATATATCAGACTAAAACGTCCAGACCACATGGCCTGGCGCTGTAACCTACATGTCAAGCTGCCACAGGAAAAGTGGGTGGTGGTTCTCCTTTTTTGGGGCAATCATTTCCCAGCTAGCTAGCTGTGGTGACACGGACGTCTTACTTCGGGCAACCCCTGCTGAAAGGACGGGGGCGTGTCACTACTCACTGCGTCTGCAGAAGAGTGGGGGGGGGGGAGCAGGTGCAGTACGTTGGAAAAACGTACTGCACCTGCGTGAAACCCGGAATTTCTCATAACTTTCGTTGGATGTTTACGCTTGGTCAACGTTGCATAAGAATGTTGCCTCTTGTAGACAATATCTTTTCCAACACAGCACTTGAAATCTACGACGGTGGCTAAAGTCCATTGTTCTCATGACCTACCTGTCATTTTTCTGTCTCACTTTCCCCTGATTGACATGAATCTTAAAATGGAGTTTAGTAGACAGGTATAGAACACAAAATCAGGCCGTTTTTTATGGGTTCACCACACCACGAAGTGGTGGTGAACCCATATTGCTTTTTCTGATGTTTCTTCTCCTCCTCCTTCTCCTCCTTCTCCTCCTGCCATATCTTCAAATGGATTCAGCTTCTTCATTTTAGGGCCTAAGGTCCTGAAATTTGGTATGGAGGTACAGTGGGCAAATACCCCTAGGCATTTTTTAAATTTTTGTGATACAGGCTTTTAGAATGGTTTTATTCGAGTTTTTTGGCTGTGTTATAGCAAATGTATTACTGTGTTAGTGTGCCTTGTTTACCACGTCTGGGCATGAGTCATCACAATGGAATGCAGGGCATCAACCAATAGGCATGCAGCTTTCCTCTATACTTCTTGCTGATTGGCTGTTGGGATTTAACTTGATTAACACCCGCACAGGGCATTTCCACCTGCACAGAGCATTTCTTGCTGATTGGCTGTTGGGATTTAACTTGATTAACACCTGCACAGAGCATTTCCATACTGACAGTATGTCTTTATTCAAGTGTTTTGGTAGGTATTTCAAGCTTTTCTGCTCCAGCATTGGAATGCGGGGCATGAACGTTTTTTATTTTATTTTGAAAATCAACAGTTTGCATTATGCAATTAAAAATCCTAACCAATAAAGTAGGGAATAGCTATCCAACTGTTGTTTTAGTTGTATGTTACTTCATATTATAGTTATATCAATGTAATCATTGTTTTCCCTTGTGTTTCTCATTCTTTCCCTGCCATGTGGTAAAATGTGGTGAACCCATCGCTGTATTTGCTCCAAAGCAAATATTGGCCTTTCTAGTCTTGTCATTGTGTTCTTCATCGGGGAAGTCAAGTTTTATTGTTTCACTGTCCTGACGTCGTGAAATACAATTTGGTAGGTGATGTACATTGTAGCTTTAATTTTGACTAGGAATGTTAACCTTTATTTGTACAAAGAATCTTGGTGCTTTTGCTAGTTTCGTCTCTTCATGATAGTGTACTGGTCTGTGCTTTGAGGGACTCCATCATGTGTAAAATGATCATCTAGTTCGGAAGGCGTTCGATTCAGTTCGTGTCGTGACCTTCAGGCGTTCCCGGATCGGCCGTTTTTTTTTTTGGTG